GGTACCGATAAATGGACCTTATATGCACAACTAGTCAACTTACATGGTTTCTATGGCCCAACATGGATATCCACCATCATATAAATATTATCTAGACCCAGATGAATATAATATGTGGTCCCGATAATATCGGGCGCCCCCCACTCCCGGTGTGGGCCCCACGTGAATTTTACTATTCACGTAAAAGAATGATAAAAATTTACAATCACGTAAAGATGCGTTTATTCATTTCTTATGGTTCAATACATGATTTGGTAAAGTACAAATACTTGGGGGCGGTGCTACACAGCACCCTTATTGTGTACACACAAGTTCACCATCAAAATTAACATAACTAAAGTGAGAAAGAAATAGTACAAAAACTAAATATTGAAAACCCACCCTTTTAAATAAAATTCTCATTTTCTTTTTCTTCTTATAACATATCAAGCTCTTTGGATGGTTTTAGATAAAAGAGAAAAAGACATCCTTGAGAACAACATGGGCATATAAATGAACATAATTAGAACACATGGTCGACATAAACTCCATAAGACTTCCTCTTTGAGCCAATCACAATACGTAGCTATAAAACGTAGTAATATGAATGTGGTAAAGGAGAATTTAACAAAATTATATAAGTAGTGAACTTATATGGAAGCAACAATTACTTGAAAAACAACTTTGAAAATCCAATTAATTAAAAAAAGTTGCAATGTCAAAGCATATTGAGGCACATGAAGAAAAAATATGGTTGCCATAAATTACTTAAATCAATGCTTGTAAGGTATTAGTATTTAAGAAGCTCGTGATTGTCATTGCAACATGTAATACTGGAAAATTACATAATATATTTACTAGTATATCTGTATATGGAAAATAGGTAAGGATTTATTAATTATTAACAAAAGCAAATAAAGGGCAAGAAACGCAAAAGGGTTAATTTAGTGGTTGGTTCCTAATGGATGTGAAACAGACTATGCCTGATATGAACTGCAAGTAACATGCTGGTAACAAAAGACATACTAATATGAATGTGGTTTTCAGAAAATTTAACAAAGATTAAATGACATTAAAGCACATCTCATAAGTTCCTGGTGCAAAAAAACCACTTTCATGCTACCAAAATACTTCTGGTGATCAAACACAGAATGGTCAAATACCTTTTGGCAATCAAAAGCTTGGGAAATTTCCAGAGGTAAATGCTTTCGGCTAGGTGTAGAGGGGAAAGTAGGAAGCCTGTGAATTCCCGTGCTTGGTCATGAGGGATTGCGGGGTATGGGTAGGATTGCTTTCCTTGAATCCCGTCACTCTGTCCTTGGTAAGGAGGGATTGCATGGTATGCATAATCTGGCAAGAATCTTATAATTCAACCGAAGTGTTTAGATAGGACAAAGTTTAGAAGAAGCAAATGTATGTTGTAAGATCTCATGATTAAAACTATTTTTTATCTGCTTTTGCAGCTGGGACAATAAATTAAAAAAAAAATAACTCACATTTTTTTTTGCATCAAAATGTTTGTCACTTTAAATCATAATTATTGGTAAAAAAAAATATGTCACATAAATGATGTGTAATAAAAAGTAAAGATTTATTCATTCAATTAAAAAGAAAGTGCTCAATGAGAATATATTGATAATGATGAGTTGCAGGAAAAATTGAATTGACTGAGTGAATATGTATAAATTGATAAATAAATAGATTTATTGACAGATTGAGTTGCGATAGCCTTGATGTGATAGAGATTCTTTTTATTTTGGAAAATTTTATGGCGCACCTACTTTACAAAATGTTTTGGTGCATCGCACAAAGTTGGCATTTTTTTAGTTGACATCTTCTGATTGGTTATTTACTCCACGACACAATATTATTTATTTAAATATGTTTATTGCAAAGGAGGCCCTTCCTTGCCAAACAAATTTTCCACTAGTCTCTTCTTTCTTTAACGAAAGAAACCAGACGGGAGATAGAACCTACGGCAAAGTCAGCAAGGCTTCAGGAGGCTGACAGCATGCGCTAAAGGAAGAAACCCACACTGCTTAGGTCGCACCAATCTTCCAAACGAAAGATCAGCCTTGTCATCCAGATCGTCATCCATAGGGTTGTGAATTTCCAATTGGATTTGTACTAGTATGTCTGATGTTATGAGTTTTTTAAGAAGACGATTGGATATCTGAAAGAAAGAAGCCGAGTACGAATATGTCAAAGGGACGTAGAGAAATTATTCTATTGTGCACGGTTAATATGTAAAAAATTAAACTTTAAAACAACATTGCTGATATGGAATGTCTTCCAATGAAATTCAGCCACATGTTGAACGCACCACAACATTCTACAAGGCGAATGCACTCGAGAGCTCACCTTTTTGAGTTTTTGCTTCTAAGGGGTGTTTGGAACTGATTCTGCTTCTGCTTCTTTTTTTAAAGCAGAAGCAGAATCAGAATCAGTTTTCAGAAGCTGGTACCCCCCCAGCTTCTAAAAAAACTGATTCTGGGAGTAAATTAGAGCACCATAAGTGCTTTTGGAATTTCACCCAAACACTCCAGCTTCTGCTCCTTGAAGGAGCAGAACCAATTTTGAGAATCAGATCCAAACACCCCCTAAAATGATGCTCTTCTATTCATCATTTCTTAGGAAGTATTTGCAAGTGCTTTTGCTTTTAAAAAAGGACTTTTTGAAGTAATTTTGGAAAAAGTGATTAGTAGTAAAAGTGGATAGTGTTTGAGAAAAAAATGATTTTGAAAAGTAAAAGTTGGTAGCGTTTGGCGAAATGTGTAGTTTTTGTATAATAGAAAAAGTAAAAAGCACTTTTTCATTAAAAGCCAAAAACGTTTTTTTAAGTAGAAATTGCCACTTGAAAACACTAATTTTAAGTTTTAACCTTTTTAAACCAAAAGTCTAGAAAAGCTTTTTTAAACTCTTGAAAACAGACCTTAAGACCATTCAGAGTGGTTGATAGGCCAAAAACTTAAAAATGAACTCCGTCCATATAAAAACAATGTTTAGACTCATATTTCTTTGCATTCCAGCACCGTCAATAAAATATGCTCAACATGTTTTTTTACATACCAATTACACTAATTAAACTATTATAAGTCATCTTTTCCTTTTTAATTTTTTCCCTGAATAATTATGAAATAAATAATACACATTTCGATGTAAAAATAAAATAATTTCATTAATTTTTTTTAACATTTTTCGGTTAACAAAAAATGAACTTAGTTCAAGTAAAGTTCGGTTATAAAATATTTAGTTCTTTGTGAAGACTCCATGAATTAAAAATTTGTGTTTCATCATTTTTTAGACTCAAGAAAACTTCAATAGTTGAAACTAAAGAATTTTTGTTACATTGTATATATTACATATTGGTGTCATATGAAAGATCATAAAATTTTTTAAATTTTGATATAAGTTTTGAAAAAAATTGAAGAACAAATAAAAAAGTTATACAATTTTTTAAAAAAGGGGAAAATAATTTAAATACCCTGAACTTTAGATAGGTGTGATATCCCCACCCTAAACTTGTATGTGTCAGTTAAATATCCTCTTCTTAAGCTAACATGAGAAATCAATACCCTTAAGTAATTAAAAATATTTAATATGGCCTTATCCATTTCCACGTGGCATATAACTAGCTAGAAGCCTAGAAGCATTCACATTGTGTTTCTCTTCTTCATTCGCCAACCCTTTGCCGGAATCTCACCACCACCGTCTCATTTCCAGTGGAATTTCACTTCACTTGCTTAAGTTATTTCATAATTAAAGTGGAGGTGATTTGAAGCTAAAGACTCATTTTGGGAGCTAAAGTGAAGGTAAAATACAAATAAAGAAGACATTTTGCATCTGGGTGCGCTAGCTTCAATTGGTGTGACATGCAGTTACATGTGGAAATTCTTGAGCTTTAGTGTACGTTTAAGGTTGGATTGTAGGGATACAATGATGAGAGAAGCATAAACGCTGAAGTTACAAATGCAGAATGATTCTTCAGATCCACCGTGCTCATCAAAGGATTTGTTGCAGAGCTTCAAGGAAGCCAGAGTGACTGGTGGTAAGTTAGAGAAGGGGAAAGAGGAGGCAGAAATCGAATTAAATCCCGGTCTTTCATTGGGAGAGAGATTCAAGTGGTGGGATATCCCATGAATCTCATTGGGACTTTTTCTATAGCCGCATCTTTTGCTGTGTGTGAAACAAGACGCGCTGCCAAAGACCCCCTGCCGAAGACAACGTCGAATATGAGATTGGAGATGACATCTTCCTTACAAATGGAGACGGAGAATGGATGGAGAAAGAATGGAAGATGAATTGCAGAGTTTGAGGAGAAGCGGAGAACGCAGTCTAAGAGGATGTCAGAGGAGAACAGTACTTGACCAAGCGATTTGGGTTATCTACGCCGCCACAGCAGGGGCTTCCAACTTGGCCGGCGGCGCCATGTAACATTAAACCCATTTGTTAAAGTGGATTTGTTTCTAGTTAGATGCCTAAATTGGAGTGTAGGGTACTGATTTCTCATACGAGCTAGTGAAAGGGATATTTTACTAACACACACAAGTTTAGGGTGAGGATATCACACTTACCTAAAGTTCAAGATATACAAATTATTTTCTCCTTTAAAAAATTGGGATATTATGATGTAATGATAACGTCAGCACGACGTCAAATTCACCAAAAGCATTCCCGCGTCCATCCCCTTTTCTTCTTTTTCTTTATTTTTTCCTTTTCCCACTCCTCTCAACCCACCCTCTATATTTTAAGTCCAAAAATTCACATTTATCCATTTGGACTCCATACTACACCGCTCCAAAGTCCAAATGGTCTAACCATGCCAAACAAATGAGGCAGCTTCTGCCGCGCGCCCCTGTCTTCTTCGCCTTCCCTGTCCCGTAGTTTCGCTAGACACAGGGGCGGATCCAAGAATCTGAGACACCCTAGGCTGAATAGAAATTATACTAGAGTCAAATATCAGCGGAGGGACTAATTATGAAAAATAAAAAAATTTACACAAAAAAATTTCTAAGTTGTCTGCAACACCTGCCTAGACAGGTGAAGAAATTCACTCCACTACAACACCAAACTGCTAGAAGAGTCCCGGTGAGAATGACGGCCGAGTCTCCCACTCAGCTCAGTTACACTCTCAATCTCCCATGTCAACCTGGTCAGCCAGTCTCCGTTGTCGCTGCTCCAGGCCTCTCTGATAGTCTGTTCAAGCAAGAACGTCCTCCTTCAATATTTCTTCTTATCATATAATCTTTGTTTATTTATTTTTACGTGTAAACTGTTGATTTGTTGATTAAATAAATTTTCCATGCAATCTTGCTCCCCACACTAGGGCTAAATGACTAACTATACATGCTATGATTTCCGATATTTAGTTCAGACCAAAGTTGATCTTATTGTGCTTTCGGTGGGATGTATTGAAGCTGTGTGATATTTTTCAGAAATGCAATTGAATCCTTTCTATTCAAGCAATGGCTGGAAAACCTAGAGACTGAAACCGGGTTGCTTGCTAATGGATCAATGTCTTTGAGACAAGTTCTGATTCAGGTTTAACAATATTTTTACTAAGTTGCTTAGCCAAGAAATAGAAACTGGAGCTTTGGTTTCTGAAGTATATACATGGGATTCCTGAGTTTTTAATACTTGTAACTATTTAAAATCTAAAATCATCTTATATTTATTCCCTTTTCTTTGAAATTTCTGATTGGTAGCTTCAAACTGGACCACATGTTACGAATTGGGGGCTCAGTATGTTGTGAATCTATGCTTAATTAATTTGTTTTGGAATCACGTTAAAAGTTTTGGTTCAATCTGCAGTGTGGAAAACCAAAGTACTTTAATTACAGCTGTGTTAGTTCACAGGAGGGGAGGGCAGCTAATTTTAACTGGACATATATACCCCCCTTTGTTTTGTGCACTTATATTCAAAATGTGTGACAATTAGGGTATAGGTGTATAGCCGTATAACCATAGATCAAAAAGATTACATATTTGTGCAAAGGTCTATGAAAAGAAACAGGCAAATAGAAGCAAGAGAGGCAAGAAAGGAGATTTTGCAGAAAGAGTGAGAGGTTTAGACTTTGGCTACTTGTGAAAATATGGTGTTCTATCAATGTTGGAGCCGGGCAGATGGAGCAGACAACTTCGGAGGTTAGAGCAAATGCAAGCACCCGGGGTGTTTATGATAGAGATCTGGGCAATCACAGCAGTAATAATAGTAGCAATATTAAATATAATGATAAGGTGTACAAAAGAAGGGGCCCAGGACATGTAATTAACTAGCTGGGGTTCTACACTAGGGAATATTATTAATATGGACAGAAAGAGAGAGGAGAGAGGGAGGCAAGTATTCTGGTAGTTTGTTGGGCTCAGGAGAGACACTCAAAATTGTCTCTTCCCTTATTTCCCGTTCACCCTCGCTTGCTCAGTTTTTCCTTTGTAATTCCCTAAGGATATATGATATCTTATCAGAATCCATTGCTTAATATACAAACAATTCTGTTGTGTATTTGTTACCTCACATTTGATATTAGAGCAATGACCGTGGAGAGCAGTGAATGACGATCACAAGAGCAAGGATAAAAACCGGCTCGAAAATGTGGAGATAAACATCAATGAGATGTGAGATATGGTGGATGAGCTGCGTAACATGATGTTAAATCAGAATCAACGTCGTTCGAGGGGCAGATCAAGGACACCGAGGCGCAGACAATTTGACGATAGCCATAATTTGTCTGCCTCAAGAGTTAACTACGACTGCTTCTGATAAACCTCCTTCCGACTAGATGTGAGTGATAACAAAACTCACTTTCAATCCGGAAGGAAGATTGATCTCCCTGTGTTTAACGGAGATGGTGCATATGGATGGATCATAGAGTGGAGAGGTTTTTCAAGCTTAACAATGTAGCGGAGGGTGATACGGTTGAGGTGGTAGTAATAGCCATGGAAGAAAAGACTCTAAACTGGTTTCAATGGTGGGAAGGTCAAACAAATGAATGTATCTGGGAACAGTTCAAAGCTGCATTGATAAGGCAGTTTCAGCCAGAATTGGTTCATAATCCATTTGGACCAATGTTGAGTGTCAAGCATATAGCGAGTGTAATGGAATACATGGAGAAATTTGAACTGGCAGTAGCTCTTTTGAGAAACATGTATACAAAAACGCTAAAAGGGATTTTTCTTAACAAATTGCAAGAAGAAGTGAGGGTTGGATTATATGGAGCTCACCCTTGGGAGAGGAACTACTGGCATATGAATGATCAGTTGCTAGGGATGGATGGATTCTACTTGTGAGATTTCTTTATTTTTTTGGCAATTAGAACACCTTTTCTGGAATGAAAAAAGAACAAAAAGATTGGGTCTTGATATTTTCACTTTTCCCAATTTTTTGGTTGCAGTGTTAGTTGTTGATATACGGAAATGTCAATTAAGTTTACATTAAAAAAAGTGAGAGCGGAATTAAACCTCTATCATCCTGGATCCTTATCCGGGCTATACAACTTTGAAAACAAATAGATATAGGGAGGATGACAAAAGGGGATGGAAGGATAAAGGAGGGAATCTGGTTAAACCTCAGAAGAACGAACTCAACAGAGGATTGGATGACGAATGCGGTTAGCCACCCACCCATTGAAAGGGGTGTGAATCCACAGGGCAAAATCTGGGTTGGAAGAGTGGCCACAGATGGTCTCAGAGAGAAGAAGTAGGAAGGGGTTATGCTTCAAGTGTGGAGACAAGTGGAATAAGGAACATATATGCAAAATGAAACATTAGGAGATTGTGCTGATGGAGAACCTAGAAGAAGAGGAGGAACGTGAAGGTCAACAAATGAAGTCAAATTCTATAGAGATTGTATTGCAACCCCCCAGCTATGTAGCTATTCATCTAGATTAAGGAGGGTATCACTATTTACATGACCTTCAAGGTACAGGGGCAATTGCAGGGCAAGATGGGGGAGAGACCACAATCTTGGGGCCGCAAACAACTTCATTTCCCAAAATTTAGGCAGGGAGATAGATTTACTTGTCAGCTGTCACCCAAATTTGAGGATTCAGTGTGGAAATGGACAATGGGGATGCTACCCTAACTACTGTAAATGAGGTAACTAGGCTGACTGCGGAAAGAAATGGGATAATAGATGAATTAAAAGGAACTTGGCCATTGCACAAAATCAAATGAAGTAATAGGAAAATAAACATAGAAGAGATATACAATAGGAAATGGGTGATGGGGTCTATCTCAAGATATGTTGGGATCTCTCCTTAATTGGTGAGGTTTTAGAAAATTCTATAGCTTTCTAGAGTAGTGTAGAATTTTCTAGAATGTTCCGGAGAATCCTAGAGAAGTGTTGAACTCTCTAAAATCTTATGGAATAATGTGGAATCCCTCTGGAATATTCTGGTGATGTGTGGAACCTTTCAGAATCTTATGGAAGAGTATGGAAGGAAGTGGAAGAGTATAGAGACTCCTAGAGTGTGTATAACATTCTAGAGAATCACTTTCCACCCTTGGATACAAATCATCCTCACCCTTCATTGAGAAGGCGGACCGATGGAGTAGTATAAATAGGGACATGAGGCTTCATTCCTAACCATAAAAGTGAAGAGTGATTACACTTCTTAGAATGAGATAGTTAGAAAGTCTCTTTGAGAGAGAAGAGAGATAGCTAGGGAAGTCTCTATCCTCAAGCTTGTATGAATTACAATGGAGTGAGTCAATTTTGTAAATACATCCTTGTAAATCCTACTATTCTTTCATAAGTGAAAGAATCTCCAAATTGGAGAATTATACTCGTATGCTCTCATTGCTATCTTTTATTATTCGGTGCCTTTCTTAACTTTACGAAGCAGGAAAGTTTGAGTTTTTCCCAACAAGATACAACCATATAAATTAAAGAGCCTATCCAAGAGAATCAATAAGTAGCTTAGAGGTTGAAATTTCCAGAGGATGTTCAGTTCATCATGTCTTTCACCTATCCTTATTAAAGAAAACCCTATCTTCTAACACACCTTGCCAGCCCCTTCCCAAGTACATTTCTGAAGAATGGGAACTTCATGAATTAGAGACAGCCCCACAGGAGGTAGGGGAATTCTTATTCATTGGAAACAGTTGCCAGATTTTGAAGATTCATGGAAAGCTCTCCACCAATTCCAAGAGCAATTTCATGAACTTCACCTCAAGGACAAGGTGACAGTCAAGGGGGAGTGATGATAGAGATCTGGGCAATCACCACAGGAGTAGTAATAGTAGCAATATTAAATATTATGATAAGGTGTGCAAAAGAATGGGTCCGGGACATGTAACTAACTAGCTGGGCTGTCCACAATAGGGAATATTATTAATATGAACAGAAAGAGAGGGAGTGAGGGAGGAAAGTATTCTAATAGTTGGTTGGGCCTAGGACAGAGACAATCTCGAGTCTCAAAATTAACTCTTCCCTTGATTCCTGTTCATGCTTGTCTGCTCAGTTTTTCCTTTGTAATCCCCTAAGAATATTTGAAATGTTCTCAGAATCCATTGCTTAATATACAAACAATTCTGTTGCATTATTGTTACCTAACAGTTTAAATGCGTGAGATGTGGCTGAGATGATTGTGAGATAGGGGCAGTTGAAGTAGTATATGAGAGCAAGAGTAATTTAGTCTCCTTATGTCAAAATAATTCCCCACAATCTTTTGGACTAAAGCTTGGATGTTGTTATTGTATGACAAAAAATTCACCCCTCCTAAAAACCCTGATTCCCTGGTTGATTTTTTATGCATAAAATTGATAGAGACCTAGATAGTACTAGACTACTAGTTATAAGAATAAATGAATAATACTAGTCTTTTATTATTGTACAATAAAAAGGGTTTAGGCCCTGAATTAAATAGCACTGGGTTAGCCCAAATGGAAAAGAATAAATAGGAGTTGGGGGAGTAGAATAGAGGCAAGCAGAGCTTGGGACTTGGGCTGGGATTCTGGGAGAGATAGGCTGCTCTAAGTGCCTAATCCTGTATCGTTTCACTTCAGTTCTTCATTTACGTTCATAATAGAAATCAATTTCTCTCTTTCGAACAAGGCCCCTCCCTTCCCCACTCATCCCTTTTAAAACCCAGAACTACGCTAACCAAGAATACAATATTAATAGGCAACTTGATATTTTTATTTTCTATGTTTTTATGTTTGGACTTCTGCAACTATAGTGCATAAGTTTTATTTCATACAATTCACCTTTGCTAGAGCAGAGTGTAGACATGTTTGGCAAGCGTTTAGGGTTTCTCAAGTTCAAAGCTGATATTGTTGATAAGGAGACAGGACAAATGGTTAGTAAAAATGATTCTTCTTGGGATTGTTTCCAATATTTCTGTTGAAGTCAGTGATTGCCTGTTTTTAGCATTTGTTTTTCCCTCTCTTTTATATTACTTTCCGTTGATCAATTGTTTAAAATTGTATCAGACACTTCTTCTTTCCCCTTGCTAGAAGAGTATGTACCTTTCACATTTATTATATCCGTAAAATTCTTAGGTTCCTGGAATTGTCTTTGCACGAGGACCAGCTGTTGCAGTGCTAATCATTTTGGAGTCTGAGGGTGAAAAATTTGCTGTGCTCACTAAGCAAGTAATTTTCCTGGTAAAATGCAGTTTTAATCTCATAATTATGGGGTTTGCAAAACTAGTCTTTTATATTGGCAATTGAGAGAGTAATATCTTTCCAAATGTCAAGAATGTAGTCCCAAAGCCAACAAAGATTGCAAAGGTTACCAAAACCTACAGGGCAAATGGGGGATCCATTGAATTGGGGGTGTCATGACAAATTTATTAAATTTAGATGCCAAAAATGATTTTAAACAATAAAATATAAACATAAGTCAATTAAGATTCTATACCAAATCATATAGGGAATTATTGTTTCAATACCAAATCACCGCTTCCCCAATTTTAAGTGTACTTTCTGGTACATTTTTTAATTTGCGCATACTTTGGGACTAAATTATTGACAATTTGAAAGTAAAAAGTGTATACTGCCACACCAAATCCCAATTTGACTAATATTTATAACCCCTATAGGTATGAGATAAAACTGCAATTTACCATAATATTTGACATAGCTATCCCGTCGATTAAATATGATTTATCCTAGTTGGATTTCCATTTTCTGATATGGCTGTTAGCTAATGATACTTCTAAAAGACTGAAACTCATGGCAAACTAAAAGAAATTCAAATGCATGTCAAAAGGTCAGGGTTCCAGTTGGGAGGCTAATTTTGGAATTGCCAGCGGGAATGTTGGATGAAGACCATGGTGATTTTGGGGGAACAGCAATTCGAGAGGTCTGTCTCTTTTATGAATGAAACACACAATGATTTATGACGTGAATCAGGGAAGGAAGAGAATTCTGTATATTGATTCTAGTGAATAATTACATGGCTAAGTATTTATAGAACTTACAAGGAGGCAGAATAGGAAAAGATATTTACAAATCTCTGGAAATCGGGGAAAGATATCTACAATCCCTGAAAATCAGGAATTATTTAAAACATATTTTCTTCAACTATTTCCTGCCTAAAATATCTCTCAACAATTTATATAAATTTAGTTGTTGGAGGAAAAGCTCAAATATTTTGTGTTTATATGGAATATCTTGGCAGGTTCAAGAAGAGACTGGACTACAGTTGAATGTGCAAGACATGATTGACCTTACAGCCCTACTGGACCCTTCTACTGGCTGCAGACTTTTCCCTTCTCCCGTAAGCTTCCCCCCATTTCTTTGTTTGGTTTGGTCTCTGGCATCTCTTATATAATTTTGGGCTACAATAATTTCAAAAACGCAAATATGCCCTCAAGACTTTTGTGTGGGTTGTCATTGGTTTAACCTTAAGCTTATTCCTCGAATGTGAACTACAACTATTATGATTTATGAGTGAATTTTGCTTTGGTAGAGTTAGATTATTTTGAATGTGTAGTTTCCTCCACCTTGGAGTTTTTTTTTTTGGAAAATGAAGTCTTGGTTTAATATAATTCAAATATGCTTTGTCCAATGTGAGATGTCATCCTTGACTTTGTAGCTCATACGCAGTACTTCTTAGGGTGTCATTGTGTCACCATAAGTGACACATTAGAGATTAAAAGGCAGATGACCATGAGTCCATGACTATTAGTGCTTACATAGATCTCCCTGTTAGTACAAGACCTATTAAAGGGCTTGCAGATCTAATCTGTCTCATAGTAGACAATCGATTTAAGGTGAGGTTTGCAGTCCTAACAAGTGGTTGTGTCAGAACCTTGGTTCTGAGATAAGGCTGGAGATATAGCCGTTTTGGTTTGCCTCACGATTGGAGGGTGTGTGTTTGATGCCTTGTGTTGTGTGCTCCTAGGTTTCTGGGTAGATTGTTAGGGTGTCAATAAAGTCTGCATGGAAATTTAGAGGAAGATGAATATCTAAGAACCAAGGTTCTGACACAACCACTTGTTAGGACTGCAAACCTCACCTTAAATTGATTATCTACTATGAGGCAGATTAGATCTGCAAGCCCTTTAATAGGTCTTGTACTAACAGAGAGATCTATGTAAGCACTAATTGTCATGGTCATCTGCCTTTTAATCTCTAATGTGTCACTTATGGTGACACAATGACACCCTAAGAAAGTAAGAAGTACTTCGTATGAACTGTAAAGTCAAGGATGACTGCCCAAACATACTGCAGTATCATTTGTTTGGAAAATCTATTTGTCTTTGGTATATCATAGTGCATTTTAGCATCAACTTCTATAACTGTTGAAACTACGAAAGATTGTAGCATTTGGAGGCATTAATGAAATATTGTGGGGAATAAACTTCATTCATATATGCTGCCGTGTACTGACACCTACATTGCAAGTTACTGGGTTAACGAGTTTTGTCAGCCTTTGTTTTATGTGATAGGGCGGTTGTGATGAGGGGATTAGTCTCTTTTTGTATAGAGGAAACATTAGCAAAGATAATCTGAGACAGCTCCAAGGGAAAAAAACAGGTCTCAGAGATCATGGTGAGCTAATCAGGGTTCATTTAGTTCCATATGATAAACTATGGCGTGCCACTGCTGATGCAAAAACTCTAAGCGCTATTGCTCTATACGAGATGGCCATCCGGGAAGGTCTGCTTCCACCCTGATGCCAACTTGAATGGTTATTTGCTTATTATGTTTTCCCTTTTTTTTGTCTGGGGACGTATCTACCCGTCGTAATACTGCTTGCACCATTGATTCCATAGACACTTGAAGAAGCATATCAAATGGTTTCTCAGTTGAATATATCAATATTCTCCAAAATATTTGTGTGACCATTATAATTCTAGAATTGAGTCGTGAGATAAACTATCAATCTTATCGCATATCATCAATATCTCATTTTCGATGATCATTAGTTGGGGCTATTTTAGAATGTTATGTTGTGTCACTTAAGTTTTTACTTACCTAGTGATAACATAAGAGCAAGGAAACACAACCATGACTAACATACAATCAAAACATATAATCATAAATGTATAATACCGTAGATATCAAATATTATAAAAAATAAATGTGGTCTAGTACGTATATCTCTAAATAGTGTTTTTCTTTAAGATATACTCCCTCAATCCCATTTTATAAGATATTTTTCTTATTCACTTGGTCAACACAAATTACTCTTAATCTCTTACTTTATATATCAAAATTTTATGAAACTTGAATTATTTTTTGCTAGCTTTGCAGCGGTTCTAATGTAATTTTTGAAAATGTAAAATTTATTTTCTAAAACTAATTTGAGTGTTCTCAGGGATCAATTTGTCTTATCGTCAGTCAAACATCGTAAACCGTAAAATGTCTTATAATTTGGGACGAATGGAGTATGTAATATATACTAATATCTTCCACTTCTCCTAGTGCCAATCATCGATGCATCTAACACATAATTTCTCCAAATTTCGAGTGTGTCTTTCGCATCTCGAACGTTTGATGAAAGGATGGTCAAATTGTTCTCGGGAATATGTTCTATTACTACTTACTCATGTTACTTGTTTCAAATCACATGATAGGATTTGGGCATATATCCATTCCTCTTGTAGCATCTTAGTTCCTCTGCTCGTGCATTAACACCAGTAGTCCAGTATTATCACAATAATTAATTTTTAGACTATTATCGCATGAAACTACACCTATTTATTTGAGGAACTTGCGTAATTAAACACTTACCTTAGCGGCATGTGATGCAACGATGCATTTTATTTTAGTTGTTCGAATTCACAATATGGAACTATTTTAGTCAACTATTGCCCAATTTAGATTGAACACATGTCTTGATTTTTTGAATTATTATAATCAAACTCATCAATCATGAAGCTAGTGTCAATAGTAATCAGATATTTAAGAACAATGTTATCAACACTCTAATGTTATCAATCATGAATTATTTTGATATTGACCTTCTATACCGAGCACATAAGCCACATCTGGCCTTGTACAGATCATGACGAACATGATTAATCCAATAACAGAAGCGTATGAAATCCATTTCATGTGTTTATTTCATTATCAATCGAAGGAGTATCAATACATGGATTGTGAAAGACCTAGTGTCCGATTAACTCTGTTTCTGTAGATCTTAATCTCAAGGATATAACAGAGTTCACTTGGATCTTTCATCAGATGATTTGGGACAAGACATTTCACGGATTTCAATGAGCGGATATCATACCCTATGATCCAAATTTCATTAACATATATGACAATAAAAGACCACTCTATCCTTACTACGCTTTGTACTCACACAAGCATCCTCATTGATTCTCATGAAGCCAAACAATTTGATTGCTCCATCAAAGCTAGAAACTTGCTTTAGCCATAAATGGATTTCTTCAATTTGCATACTAATTCGGGATTTGACTTGGATACAAATGCTTCAAGTTGCACCTTGTATACTCCTTGAAATTTCCATTAGATAACACAATTTTGACATCCATTTACCAAATCTCATAATCATTATGTGCAATTATTGCAAGTAAAATATGAATAGACGCGAGTTTTCCAACTGGTGAATTGGTCTCACTATAGCCAATTCCTTCTCTTATACTATAACCTTTAATCACTATATTAGCTTTGCACATTTACACCCTGCCATTAACATCACTTTTTTTGATAACTCATTTGCATCCAATAGGTCTAACTCCCTTATGCATGTTAACCAAGGTCCATACCTAATTGATATGCATTGAGTCCATTTCCAATTTCATGGCTTCTCGCCACCTCTTAGAATCAATATCAAATATTGCTTCAGTGTAGGTCTTAGGTTCATCCTTGTCAGGAATCCTAACACCATCGTGATCCTCCATGAGAATGCCAAACCTAGTTTGTTCGTGACGAACCCTAATAGAATTACAAATTCGAATGTTTTGTGTTTGTTCAAGCTTCTCGTTCTAATTTTGAAGTTCTCCTTCATTGGATTGTCTAATGCTCATGGGATTTTATGGTGCTACACTATTAAGTGTTTTTTAGAGAAGGAAAATAACGTGCAGAAGGAATCACAACTATATCATCACTTGTCTAATATGAATCACTTGTTAGTGCATTGTGCTTCATATGTTACTCACACTAGTCGAAGAATGACCTTCATATATATCTTTATCTTTACATAACATAAAGTAGCAAAATTTCTATAAGCCTTGGAGGCAAAATTGCCGCCTAAATGAATGGTAAAAATGTAAATCCGTATTCTTCGAAATCTATACTCCTACCTCTAATACAATAAGTATGTGTGTCTTGATTTTTTACATTAATGGAGCATTTATTGCCAATAAATGTGCCTCAATCAATACATTTACATTGAACCAAATTAAGAGAAATGTGTTTAAAACCCAATCATTCATTACTTTGTTCAACCTGTAATAAGAATTCTGTATTGTTCATTTTTTAATTATGCAAGTCATAAATAAACAATAAAGAAATTATATATTTATGACTAAAATAAAGGTTGTTTACAAAATATAACCTCTTAGTCATGTGTAGTGGCTTTCGTAACATCTATAACCATAGTAACTAAAGAAGGTGTCCCCAACATAGATTTTAAATGATTTTACAGGATTGTAGATTCTATTGATTTTAATGGAATTGTACAGATTCCATGTGATTCATATGGAATTCTATGAAGTTCTACTTCATAGAATCATATGAATTTTAATAGATTTTAATTAAGTTATTAAATAAAAGTTGTTTACAAAATATAACCTCTTAGTGATGTGTATATTAGTAACTATTAGTTAATATTTAATGTAATATTTATTTCAATTATTTTTTAAAAACATCTAAAAAATAACCAATGCAAACAAATAAAATGTCTTTAAATAATGATTTGACTAAATAAAAGTAGTAGGTAAAAACACGACCTTTTGTACTTCATAGAGTATAACGAATGTAATAGTAATTTGAGTGACTTTGGTCATGTTCAATTTTACACTAGTCAATGTGCGGTATGCTCACAGTAGCTCTAGTAACATATTGTACCATAAATTCTATTTTAATAATATTTAAAAAAATATAATATTCACTGTAATATACAAAAACCAACATCACAAAATAACCACAATATATTACTATTAGGAATACTAATTGTAATGATGATAATAATAATAGTAATAATAAGAATGATAACATTAATAAGAAAAAACTATAAAATCCTGCCCAATATAATGTTAAACTTTCAAGATATTAAAATAAATTGTGAGGGACAGTTATAAGACCATTTTTAAATTTGGACAAAAAAGAGACCTAATAATGTAATTGAGAAGACGAAAAAAACCTTTATAAATTTCAAGGTGTTTTCTAAAATATTACTAAATAAAATTTATTTACACAAATATGACTAATAGTTACTCTAATGTAGTGTCATGGTCACTTAAGGTTAAAAATTGAACATAGACTACTATAATTTAGTTCTTACTGTAGTCACTAGTCACATTTTTGTAAATAATTTTTATTTTAGTCATAGAAATGGTTCTAAAAATCGGCCTAGAGGCTGCCCAGTTACTAGGTGGTGGCCGGGCGCCTCGATTTCGTGGTAATCGGGCTAGGCTGTCACACCCGGACCGCGCCCGTGCTACGTAGACAACCGCCATACAATCCAATAAGAACAACAATAGCCACCTTTATTGAATTACACAAGGCGTTCGATAGATTCTATTGCCAAACCAATTAGTAAACACTACGATCAAAATCAATAACATAACCAAGCAAAATGCGGAAATAATAATATGCTTAACATTTAGCCACACATGGCAAACACGAGTATGCATGCCCCCAAATCGTTTAATAGAAAACAATGTTTAAATATCCATGAACAATTCCATAATTTCAAATAAGAATGGAAACATGAATCAAGTCTTCCTTATTGATGATCACCCTAGGCAAAGGTGCAGGTAGTAGGACTCTAGCCTTAACTTGAAAATAGTGAGGCCCCCAGAGGGGTTAGTACTCCAGAGAAAGTAGTACTAGTGACAAGCAGGCTATATGAGGAATAACTAATGTTTCAGATATAAGACCCAAAAATAGGGTGATACGTATGTATATAGGTGTAACTACCGTTACCCCATCCACAAGATGGTATATACCGTATATACTTGTAAAATACTTAACCCGTAGGTCATTTTAAGTTAAAGAGTCTTTTAGAGAATAAGTCTTTAGCCGACCTTTCTCATTCCTTCCCCGAATGCCCAGCTCGTAAGCTACATCCTACATTCACATATACTACCGAGTGTTTTAGGATCATTTACCGTCCAAGGGTACTCAACCCCAACTTGGAGTATTTTAGGATCATTTACCATCCAAGGGTACTCTACCCCAACCTGGAGTATTTAGGATCATTTACGTACAAGGATACCCTACCCCAATCTGGAGCATTTATGATCATTTACCGTCCAAGGGCACTCTACCCCTCCTATTCCTACCATAATCCTAACCCGGATATGGCTAAAATATCATACATTTCTCTATGGACTATTCCTAATCATACAATCATATATAATTCCTTAGTGGTCATCATGGGTGGTTCCTGCTCGAACGATCCATGTTGAACCATTCAAACTATCCATCTGTGTATTTGGCAGATTTTTGACTTGGAGGTCAACATCCGTTTGACCGCCCAAACTAAGAACAATCTCTATGAAATTTAATATACATATACATCTCAAGTTAAGGAATCCAAAAATACCTTTTTGGACCCGTGGAAGATGATACATAATAAATGATGACATTTTTAATAATCAAACTCGCAAAATATACCTTTCAACTTTAATCATGCTTTAAAAAGGCATAACACACACTTAGATGTGATTAATCATTTCATAAAACATATTCTTGATTAATTTGGGTAATATCATGCCTCAGTAAAAAGTTACAAAGCATCAAGCTGTCTTCTCACCTTAAATGAAGCTTATGAAATTCTAGCCTCCTTGGTTGAACTCTGGCCATCTGGTGAAACTTTTGCGAGCTCCGGCAACCACTTCGGCCACTTATCAACTCTTTTAGAAAGTTAAAATCAGCTTGAACAAGTCCCAAACAAGGTTTTGTGTCCCGATGACTCATATTAATAACTATAACTTCGCAAAAGTCACTTTCCGGCGAATTGGTCAACTTTGTTCTCTAATTCAGTTAAATAGAAACTAACCTTCCAACCCCCCATTCTTCACTTATAAAAATGTTGAAAAATTGTTTGGTTCTATCAAATGATTACATAATCATATGACAATATTAAGGAAAAGAAATAGGGTTAAGGGAGTCATTACCTTGTAATCCTCAAGTTATCCTCTCCAACCTCCTCTTTTCTGTTCTCTTTTCCCTTCCTCCTTCCTCCTTAGCATAGGGGCGGAAATGGTGGATGAAAATCGAGTATTTTCAGATCTTTTCTCTCTTCTTTGGGTGGGTTGGTCTAGGTGTATGAGTTGTGGGTGATTGAGAATGTCTTTTTGACACTTCTTACAATAATGTGGGAGAGGGTCCCTCCCCCCTTCCATTTGTCTCTCAATCAACTTCTTCCTTATTTTCTTGGATGAAATTTAGGCTCTCCATGTTTTCAAGACCAAAACATGGGATGGCCCCCACTCAAGTGGGAGGTCATCCCTTTATGTTCTCAAGTGTACATTTGATCCTGAAAGTTGTATTTTCCGGATTGTTTTAATTAAATTTCATTTTATAGGGTCAAAAAATTTATATATCATCATACAAGTTATTTTGGGCTTCTAGAATGAATATATATTCCCCAACTTTAATTTAGTGGTCCCTGGAATTTATTATGGGCTTTTATCTGCCAGTATGTCGATACTGGTATATTGGCCTTGTTTGCTCAACTAGCAAACTCTACATCATTTCTATAGCCCAACATGGGTATATACCATCATATAAATATTATGTAGACCTAGATGAATATAATATTTGGTCTCGGAAATATCGGGTGGCTCCCGCTCCTGGTGTGGGCCCCACGTGCATTATACTATTCACGTAAAAGGAATGACAAAAATTTACAACCACGTAAAATTCATTACTCATTTCTTAAGGTTCAATACATAAAATTCATTACTCATTTCTTAAGGTTCAATACATAATTTGGCAAAAGTAAACATCCTTGGGGACGATGTTACATAGGCGATGGCTAGGCGGTCCGGGCTAAATTTGTTCTCGACCCAACTTATTTTTTCCATTTTTTCTTCAAACACCATTTGATCAATAAGCATTTTATTCCTTCAAAATTAACTATCATATTCCCACATCAAAAAATTACGGAGTATAACATTATTAGTAAAGATTTTTGAAATTCATAGGAAATGAAAAAGTAAAGTAAAAATAGGGGAAATGCCTAAGCGCCCTAGTCGGCGTCTAGGCGCCCGCCTAGGAGGGCTATGCGCTAGACGACCAGTCACCACTGACTAGCGGCTAACGCGTTTTAGAACACTAGTCATAAATATGTATGTATTCCAAATTTCAAGCTTGAACCCTAATCTATTTTCGTCGTAGTAGCAATCTCATAGCTGCTCACCCAATTTCTGTCACCGACTGCCATCACCGCCCATCTCCACTCTGATTTTTGATCATCATCGTTAACCATCTTTTCAGCTCCCATCACCATTTATCACTTCGATTTCCACTCTTGTGTCGCGGTCATCATCGTCAACAAAGGATGCAGTTGCTGTCGCCTTCACCAAATCTAGCTACGCCGGCGTCCAAGCTAATCTTTTTTTTTTTGAAACCCTTCTTTTGATCCTTCTTCAACTTTTTTCTCTTTCTCGTTCATCTATCCTCGATTCGGTCTGATTTGCAAGGGCGGCGGTGACCAACTATAGTGATAGCTAGTGTGCGTGTGGCTAGCTAGGTTTTTTCGGCTATGGGTAAACACATGAGGCGTTGGCTCAAGTTGAGTAAGGTGGGCAATGGTCTTGTACGTGGGGGAAGTAATGATACTTGGGACTAATGGAATAACGAATTTCATGGAGGGATGTTAGGACTGACGGCGCTCTCGGTGACGAGCCGGGGTAGGGGTGTCGTGATGTCAGGTCACTATTGGAGATCAGAGTCATTGAGCAACTACCGGTCATCAGAGACATTTGTAACTATAACTATAATAACCAACATTTTTAGTGTTCGAATACTCGAATTAGTGATCACTATGGCCTGTCAGTGTTGGTCACTGTGCTCGGCCGATGTTGGTCATTGTGGCTAACAGGTGTTTGTCATTGTGGGTGGCCGATGTTGGTCATTGTGACCTGAGTGGTGGTCACTGTGACCGGAGTGGCAGCGACGATGACATTAGTCACTGTGATCGGCTACGACGTGGTCAGGGTGAAGGGCGGAGACGGTGGTCACTGTGGCGGCGGCGATCACTGGGGCATTGGTCACTGAGGTGTTGGTCACAAGAACAACAAGTTAGTGGGGCGGCAGGGCATTGTGACGATGGTCAAAGGGATATTGGTCACTATGACGTTACTGTGGGACTAGTGTGGTGAGATTATATATGAGTAATATTCATGGCCTAATCTCAATTAACTGTTAATTCATTCTTTTTTAACAAAATTCATTAAATATTAATTATATAGTAATTATGTAATTTTTACAATATTCAAATCACTTCTTAGCTGTAAGTCGAAAGACACTTCTATAGTTCCATCCGTTCCTACTATATACAAAGAAATGTCAGATCCCCTTCATTCCTAAATAAACGGAACCAGGAACAAAGGTCCCAAATAATACGGAGTAATCAAATTACATCCCTAAAAAGCTAATCAACATTATCACTATTAGAGCATCTTCAATGCTAAAACGTTAACGGTGCATACGTGACATAAGAAATAACCAATTAAAAAACAATAAATAGAATATCTCTCCTTATTTAAAGGATCTTACATCATTTTGGTAAGTTTTTCTTCACAATGTCAATCACAATGTCTAGATGTAGACATTGTGGTTAACATTGCAGACAAAAACTTATCAAAAACACATAAGACCGTGGAAAGAAGGAGAGAGAAATGTCATAAAATCAATATTTTGTGTCTATATACACTTGTGTCCTTATGCGTCTTTTTACATTCAAACAGCTGTTTTATAACACCTAATTTTACCAAACATTTATTAACAACAAGCTAATAAAACGAGCCAATCAAAAGAGCCAACACAACCAGCTGTGATCAAACAACTGACATGACCGGCTAACAGCTAACAACTAACAGCCGCTTACCAAACAAGGCCTTAATATTTCTAAATTGAAAAAGCTTCATAATCATTATTTTGAATTAGGATCGACAAATACTGCTCCAGCTGAGATGGATCAATCGCTCTTCCTCCTCTCACCTACAACATTAATTGTTCAAAAAATGATTAGAAATAAAAAAAAGGGAAAATTGAAAATAATAATCCCAACTATTGCCGGTCCGCTGAAAATAATCACAACTATTGATTATTTTTGTATAATCCCAACTATATAGACTATCCGCCAATAATGGTCCATGACCATATATTACCTCTATAAAAAGTGAATTTTAAATAGAAATAAAGCGTAAAAATTAAAAGTTGAGATTATTTAGAGGGATTACTTGTTATATCTCACCCCATCCACTTTAGAAACTACAAGAATTTATTCATAGGGACCATTATTGGCGGAAGGTCCCTAAAGTTGGGATTATTCTGTAATAATCAATAGTTGGGATTATTATGAGCGGACCGCCAATAGTTGGGATTATTACTATCAATTTTTCCATAAAAAATACTCCTCAGCTCGATTTTGAACCCATGACTCCCTACACTTACGGCATGTTTGGAACTTGAAAGTATGTGAGGAGGGGAGGGAAGATTTTGAAACTAACTATTCGTTTAAATTTTAATATGAAATTTAGTGGAGATAATTTACATTTGATGGAGAACACGCTCATAAAATTTCATGAAAATATTCGACACGAAAACATCTCAAATGAAAGAGACATAAAACTTGTAAGTTTTAAGTCTATCTTAAGAGAAAACTCCTCTATATATATACTCCAATGGTAGACTTAAAATTTACAAGTTTTAGATCTCTTTCATTTGAGGTGTTTTCATGAAATTTTATGAGCATGTTCTCCATTAAATGTAAATTATATCAACCAAATTTTAGATTAAAATTTAAACGAGGAGTTAGTTAGATAAACTATTGAAAAAATTGCATTATATATATTTCAATAATTTATTTATTTGACTTCCCGATTGAATTTTAAACTGAAATTTGGTAGACATAATCTATCCTTCATTGAGAACATGCTCACAAAATTTCAACAAAAAGTTGATTCGAACTCACCGCAAATAATTCATTTGGTGTGTGTGTAGGGCGCGGTTCCAATGGGAACGATGCTTAACGTGAGAACGTGAGAGCACTCACAATTAACCCAATGTGATACACAATAGAGCCCGTCTGATGCACATTTTGAATTTTCTCAAAACAAGCCAATCTTAAATCTTATCTTAAAAACTTATAAACATGAATGAGGGTAAGGGTATTTTAGGTATGAAAAATGTGTTGGTGTAAACTCTCAGCTTTATCAACATGTACCATACACTTAAGTCATTGTACTATTAGTCTGTTTTATTTATCCGTCTATTAACGTCTATTATCATGCCGTCACTACAACTGTTCAACTACACACACTCAATCCACTTCCCCGTCTCTCGTTAGAACACACTTGGTTTGACTCAGAGAGACACCGACGCTGCTCACGCTAGCATTCCTCAACACTCACCCGCCCTCTTACCCTTCTTATCCAGCTTTCTCCCGTTAGGTAAGGTATTATTTTCCTTTCTTGTGATGATTAATTGATAATAATTGAATTAAAATAGGTAGTTCCATATACAACTGCAAATCGATCGTAACCTATGCTTCTTTCTATCTTTCTATCTTTTTACATGTCCACATACTCTGGTACCTCATTTACTTTTTCTAAATCTTGAGTGCTTGCCAGGTGAGGCTAAGAAATATATATCAGGGCTCATGAGTATATTTGGGCTAGAGTATGATTTTATCCTCTTTAGGAGGTCTAAATCAATATATTGAGACTCCCTCTTTTGATGTTAATTTAGTTATGGGTCTTTATAAATGATTAAAGATGATGATTTATAGTGTTTGTTTTCTTTACTTTTATAATAGAACTAGACAAATATTACTACTTGTTAGGTTTGCAAAGATGGTTCTATTTGATAAATCAACAAGACACTATGGGTTGCAAACACTCCCTAAACTATCTAGCTGCAACCCGAGTTTCCGGCGTTACTAACCCGAAAAAGCTCCTCCTTTTACACCATCGGAGCCAGTGCCTATCCTTGTCGTGACCCGGCCGTCTCCGACGCCTCTGGTACGTTTACCGTCAATCCTGCGCCACGTGGAACACCCCAACACCTGTTCGAGGTTAAGCCTGAACTGTAACTGATGCTTATGTATATACTCTGTAAAAGCAATAGATAAATAAGTAAAATGGATGTGAAAAGACGATTGCCAGAATGGATGCATTGTTTGCCTGCTTCTGATCATGGGAAGAAGTCTGGAACTCGAGATTTCAGTAATGGTGAAAATGGCGAGGAGGTTGAGATTAAGAGGAAATCCAAAATGAAAGAAGTAAATAATGGTCAGGTAAAGAAGAAAAGAAGAATTAAGGATGCAAGCAATTGTGGAAGTGCGGAGAAGGGGTTGAAGAAAAGATCTAAAACTAAACATGTAAAGTCTGGTGAAAACATAGATGCAAGGGAAGTAATGAAAGAAAATGCAAGTGACAATTGCGGAAGTGAAATGGAAATAAAGTTGAGAATGAAGCAGACCGGAGATAAGTAGCATAAAAGGGCGAGGGATGATACAAATGACTTGAGAAGCAGTAGAAAGATAAGTTTGGAAGATTACAGTTGTGACTTTGAGCCAAAAAAACATTTTGGAGTACAGGAATATATTACAGTTGTGACTTTGAGACTCCTGCGAAAATAAAAAGAACGAAGGCAAACAGTTCTGCAAATGAGATAACTGATAAAAATTAAAGCTTGCCAGAAAATGAAGATAAGGAGGATGGCTTTGAAGATGAAGATCTTACTGTTGATGATTTGTTGACTATCGCTAAAGAGATTGTTAATGAAGAGGGCAAAGCTGAGCAAAAAGGTAATTGTAGATTAACCGGGACTGAAGAAGAACGTGAGGCCCTTCCCCCTTTACCGAAATCACACCAAATCTATCTCAGACTATGTTGGGGTTGATTTTGGGCCCTCTGTATAAGAGCGTTCAATGAAAGGAAAATGTAAGAGACAACATTGAGTTCACTCATACACATCCAAATTTTCAAATGGAAGTAGTGATGTCAAGGATCATCTAGCTCCTCTGTCAACAAAAAAGGAAGACTCAAAGACAAGGCAGCTCATAAATATATACACAACGTTTGGCTTGTAAAGGAATACACTTCCTCCATTTTGGGGATGCTATTTGGGAATTGGGTTTTGTTCTGGAGAGTTTTGGCGGGGAAGGGAAAGGGGAGTTATATAGTTTGTGATGCTGTTATAAATAAATGACTAGGACATTATATACTAATTTTCCATTCTATATCTTTTATTTTGATAAAAAAAATCAACCAGACACTATTTGGTTCTGGAATCATGAAATAGTTTTTGAAAAAACCCAAGCAAAGAAAATTTATGGAGTACAAAGATTGAGGGTCAACAATTTTAGTGGGAAATATAGCCCCAAACCTTGCAATTATTTGAAGGCTGCTAATTTGCAAATCAGTAAAAAGAAAACATAAAAACATACCCTTGTGCAGTTCAAGTCATGCTTTCTGAGTATTGGTATTCCTTTAACCTTGTCTATTTGTTCTCTTTGACTTATTAACAGGGATAAAACATAAGTCAAAAGTTTTACTTTCTAGCGTAATCAAATTGTGATTTGAAGGGTATGGGCATCGTTATCGCCATTCCTTCTTTGATCTATATCTTTATTGTACTCTCTAGGAGAAATGAGCCATTGTATCTATTGCCTATTTATAATAAAAATTTCTTGCACTACTTTCTTTTCGTGGCTATTTTGTACTTATAAAGTGGCACAATATAAATGACACTCTGCTATTAATCATCACTTACGGGTCAATATCTTATTCAAGTTAAACTAGAGATTAATAAGACACTATGTCGGTTTTAGAATTAGAGAATAGCTTTTGAAAAACCAAAGGAGAGAAAATTCATGGAGTAAAAGGATTAACTGCCAATAACTTTAATAGGAAATCTAGCACCAAATTAATCTTTTAAATAAAGGGTCAAAAGAAAATGGCAACAGTAGTGTTTCAAATTAAATTTTGACAACATGAGAGAGGGGCATAGTTAGGACAAATTAGCTGTTATAATTTGATTTAGGGAGTTAGAGGGGGAATTAGAAGCAATCTGAGAAGCTATAGAATGGCTGTGAGAGCAACTATTTGTTTCATACTCTCTACGCCTTTTGCTTAGTGCCTCATATTAATGCCCCTAATTTCATATTCGTTCGATAAACTCTTACCGATATCCATAAAGTGTCAAATTCAGTCAACCACTACTTTATTGTGTTCATTCTAGGGATTTAGATTTTTTTAATTAAAGATTGGTTTTTAGGAATGAACCGCAAAGATTGTGTGATGAAGACGAGTCCAATTGTAGCTCAGCTAATACCTTGTGAAAGGATTATCTCATCTCAGTTTATGTAATCTCTATATTGCCACATAAAACGCAAGCATATCAATCACATATTTAGTTGGACATAATTGGTATTTAGTTTGCCTATTAGTTTTATAAAACTCAATTGTACAAATCATGAACATTACATACTTTAATCCTAGCAAAAGCATATTGGGCATCAACCCCTCGCGCAACGCGCGACATAAAACTAGTATAAATAATAACGGTGACATTTTGGTAATTATTATGCCGAACACGAAAATGTGCATTGGGCGAGCCTCATTGTGCATCACATTGGGGTAAATGTGGTGTTCTCACGTTCTCACGTTAAATCTATAAATATAGATTTAGGATCAAATGAGAACAATGCTTAACGCGAGAACGTGAGAACACCACATTTACCCCAATGTGATGCACAATGAGGCTCGCCCCAATGCACATTTTCGTGTTCGGCATAATATTTACCAAAATGCCACCGCTATTATTTATATTGGCCGGCTTGTTTTGAGCAAAGTCAAAATGTGCACCAGACGGGCTCTATTGTGTGTAATTGTGAGTGTTAATTGTGAGTGTTCTCACGTTAAGGATCGTTCTCATTGGAACCGTGCCCTATATATATATATATATATATATATATATATATATATAGATTTTGGTTCAGGTGAGAAATGCATCTAATGTGAGAAATGAGAATGAATCTCAGCCATTGGATTTACGAAGTTGCGCTAAAATTGGCTTTATGTTGCAGTAATATTTAAATTTTGCACATGTTGCACTAAAACTGTTTTATGTTGCACTAATATTTGACGGCGTTGCACCGAAATAGCTTCATGTTGCACTAGACACGTGTAATACGGATTTTTCAGAAGTATTTACAGAAATGCCACTGTGCTAGATTGCATATTTCAGTGCATCATGAAGTGTCTTTTATTGCAACTTAGTCGAATCCAATGGCTGAGATTCATTCTCATTTCTCACCCAAAGGGTTCTTCTCACTTGAACCTTACCCTATATATATATATATATAGAGAGAGAGAGAGAGAGTTTCTTTCGAGTCAGGAACTCCTGAATGGAACGGCCGTGCAGAATTCACTGTTTGGGGTGGTTCTCGGTAGTTTTCATGAATGGTTTGAGCATGTTTTTCATCAAATTTGGTTTATGTCCATCAAATTTCAGCTTAAATTTCAATGGGGAAGACAAATAAATAAACAATTTAAATACATTGTGCGTATTATACATATAAACAACACAGTGTTTTTTAATTCAACATTTGATTGACTACCCTATTGAATATTTAGCTAAAGTTTGGTGGACATAAACTAGATTTGATAAGAACATGCTAAAAAACATTATCAAAAAATTCCACCGGAAAATCACCTCCAAACAGTGAATTCCACATGCACGGCGGTTCCAGTGAGCAGCTCTTGATTCTAACGGGACTCTCTATTTAAGCCTCTTTCATTTGGAACGTAGTAGGCCGGGTAGTAGGTCGGTTACCTGAGCATGGATGGTATGAAGGATGGTATGATTAAGTTTGAGAGAGGAGCAGATGTGAATGGACATCCCATGGGCGACAAGAAGCTTAAGTACTGTGGAGAGGGAGAGTCCGGAGGCAGGAGGAGCAATGGTGAGAGTGACCTCAACTCCTCCTACCTTGCACGGCTTCACCGCTACTCTGCTTCCTCCCATCTCACCGATCATGCTGCTGTTGCTGCCGCTGCTGCTTGATAATAATGATGACGACGATGCTGTGGTAGGGAGTGGCGTCGGCGATGAAGAAGAATCATGATGAGTTGCCACTGTCGACACATCGCCTCCTCCTCTTTCTTTCATCATCACAAGCTCCTCTTTTCTTTCCTTAAATCTCTTCACTCTTTCCTTCAAATCTTTCACGTACCTCACAGTTTCTTGTAGACGGTCCGACGTCGACCGCTTTCCCTGATCCACTTTCATTCATTATATATTAAAGCACACCCAAAGGCAGGCCAATATAAATATGGTAAATTCTCGTCATATTAAGATATTGAAGGACGACAATACTCTTATTACAAAAGTGTATTTTGCACTACTTTCGTCTAAAAATATTACACTTTATGAAAGCGTTAATCACTGCACGACATTTGCTGCACTTTATGTCATGTTACAAAAATGTTTTTTAAAGCATTACGAAAATGTTATAGTAAATTTATCGTTTTTTTTTTTCATTTTAAGATTTGATAACTTTAGTTTTTGCATCTAATTAAATATAATGTACTTTATAACGGCGTTACTGCACTTCACGTCAGAATTATGGAACGACATTATAAAAATGTTAGGAATTTATAGTTCTTTTTCATATTGGATAAGTGCACACTTGACGCCATACCTAGGGTACTTTTCTCTATAAATAAATGATCATTAATGTATTGCTGCCTAAATGTACACACACACACATACATAGAGAGTAAGAGAAATGAGAATGATTTTGGAGCGTTGAATTTGAGTATCGTGCATCACGTAAAATAGAAATGTGCATATAAAAATGGAAAATGTGCATTTCAATTGTACAAAAGTTTAAACGTAAATGTGCATATTTCAATTTTGCATTACCTTAATTATAAATGTGCATTTTCATGAACGATAAAGTATAGTGCATCGTTTTGGAGTGTTCTCATTTCTCACGTTAAAGAGTGTTCTCATTGAAATCATACCCCATACACACATTTAGAAGCTAGTAATCCTCCGGTAAATTCCGAAAGTACCTCAAAACTAGGTGTTCGGACGACGCCTCTGTCAAGAAATTCTGGACATGAATTTTCATGTATATTCATATAGTATAGAATTGTGTTTGTTTATGTTTGTAATTTTAACTAGTTTTATTTGTTAATGTGTGGGAAATTACACACTTTTGGTGTAAGAGTCAGGATGAAATGAGAATACTTCTTAACGTGAGAAATGAAAATGATTCTGGAGCATTGCATTTTGGCATTGTGCATAGAGTAAACAGAAATTGGCATATAAAAAGGGCCTTTTTTTTAATGTATATTACTATTAAGAGTTCAAATGACAAAAAAGTTACTTAAATAAAGAAATTCCCAAAATGTGACCTCCGTACACTCCCATGTTCTTAGAAATGGAAAAACTACCTTTTTGAATAGATAACCAATGAACCTTAAATTGGAAAATGTGCATCTCAAGTGTGCAAAAGTTTACACGTAAAAGTGCACATTAGAATTTTGCATTACTTTAACTATAAATGTGCATTTTAGTTAATGATAAAGTGCATCATTTTGGAGCGTTCTCATTTCTCATGTTAAGAAGTGTTCTCACCGGGACCACACCCTTTGGTGTAATACTCTATTTTGCCTAGTTGTTTGAAATTTGTTTAGATTATGATTTTTTTGAGCTTAAACTAGGTAAAGATCATCAAAAGAATCCTGGGATGGTTAAGGAAAGTGCAAGGGAACAAGATAAAGTGAAAATTTGGAAAATGGTCAAATACCCGGTCGGGTAAATCATATACTCGATCGAGTATTGACTTGACCTGAAGATCTAATCTGATTGGGAGGCAATTAAACGTGCAAGGCAAAGATTTGACAAACATTTGTCTTTTACCCGATCGGGTAAACCATTTACCCGATCGGGTATGATGTGATTTATGAAGGTCTCGAGTAGTTACTAAAGATACCCGATCGGGTAAATCAATATACTTGATCGGGTAAATGACGCTACCACCTCCAAACACCTATAAATACACCCCTTTATCTACCCATTTGATTACGGAATTCATATATACCTCTAAGCTCAGTTTATAAAAGAATTTCCTTTATATTTTCTAGTATGTTTAGTCTCCAAATGAGGAGCTAAACCCTTCCATCTTGGTTTTGCTACATTGAAGCTTATGATTTGTAAGTTGTGAATTATTTTCTTTAATCATCTTCCTTGAATATTAATTATATTCCCATTCATATTTCATATTAATATTTGAGCATTACTTAAAGGATCAACTAGATTTGTTTCATATATTAATTATTACTAGAATCGATCGACAAAGACGCTTGTTAATCGTTCGATCCTTTCAACGGTAGTAAACTTGGATTATTAACGCATGTGTCTCATGGTTAATAATATAAGAGAATTAATTATATTGATTAAACAAATAAACCGTTTGTGTTGAGGTTATCAATCTCAATCTATTTTGTCTTCAATTTTATTGCTACTATCGGGTCAATATACGGCACACGTTCTATGTTGACTTAATAATAAGTTTTATTAATGAACGCGTCTCGTTATTAATAACTACCCTCGATGAATTGGAGATACTCCACGATTGAGTATTCGAGAGGAAAATAGTTAAAGATATAACCGGGATTGACGAACATTTCATTAAGTAGATATAAGCAAAACAAAGTCTTCATCCCTATTGAACTAAAACACATAAGTCGTTCATCTTAGTTAAATTAATTAAATCAAATCAATCTTAAAACCCCCTTGTTACTATTTCATTAAAAGACAAATATCTTTTCCTTGCGGATACGAACCTTACTACGTTATACTACAGTATTAGTGCAAGTATTGTATTTATTTTGCGGCACACAACGACTTTAGTGCCGTCAAATTTGGCGCCGTTGCTAGGGAAAGACAATAACTTTTCTTTTTATTTTATTTTATTTCAAGAAAAATAAAATAATATAATTAATTAATAAAAATATAAAGAGTTCTTACTTTTCTATTTTCTGAGACATGAGTATATGGTAAAAACTCATTCTATAAACGAGATTATTTACCAATCAAATCCAGAAATAGAACAAGCCTTCATGAGGTTGCGAATTTTATTTTCACACACACACCCTCGGAGGAATCATCAAACACTAGTTCTAGCTCTAGCGAATCCGAAGAGTCCATACACATGGCTATTGAGACAAGAACCTTGAGAAAGCTCACAACTCCAAACATCAATCAACAATCTTTATGTATCACCTTTCCTACTCTAAATGAGGATGTTAGTTTGAATTAAAATCGGGCCTCATTCATCTACTCCCTTCCTTCCATGGTGTATGATGGAGTATATGGCCCAGGAACCCCCGGCCCATAGACTCCTACTTCTCCTACACAAGTCCATTGAGCCCAGAGAACAACTCAGGCCCAGATACAACGGCCCAAGCCTCAAAGTAGCCCAGAATACACACTGGGTGCCTTCGGCCTCCTTGGCCGAAGGCTCCAAAACTCACAGGATAGCCTTCTCTGGCATAAGGAGCTGCTGGAAGAGAACGGGCAAAGACATGAGCCTTCGGCATTCGCATGCCCTCGGCACCAGGGGAAGCCCTCGGCTGAACCAAGCCTTCGGCTACACATTTGAGCCTACGGCCATACATGAAGCCCTCGGCTACGCAAGGAGCCCTCGGCTACACAAGGAGCCTTCGGCTGAACTAGCTCAACCATCGAAGATTCCTTTTGGGGACAGCCAACCACCGCATTTAATGCCACGTCACATCCGCCAACCGCATTCAATGCGGTGAACGTACCACTGCCGGTACCACCAGGCTGACGTGACCCTTCGGCCGTTGGATTACTGACACGTGTACTCTCATCGCATTTATTGCTGCTATAAATAGCAGCCCATTTCTCCTTGTAATCGACATCATCTGCGTCTCAACTCCACATCTCGAGTTCATTTAATAAAATCGACTCTCTCTCCTCCTATTTGCTCTGACTTCTCTCTAAGTTATTCCCGTAATAACCCCTCGGATAAGATACCCCCCGGGTAGACTATCCATCATTTGGTGCTCTCGTTGAGAGGTCTGAACTATCAAGTAAGAAACCCTCCCCCTCTACCAAATACAAAACACTTGCCAAAAGATGGGAAGAACCACTCGTGCCCAATCTAAAACTCTGGAGGAGAACCACGTCGCCCCCGGCGAAACCAACGGGGCTGAGGCCTCCAACAGGCTCTTGGTACCCGAGGGTGGTGTCATCCTTGAGTTGGAGCAGGCTACCGCTGACCTCCGTCAGCAGCTACAGAAGAACGCCCCTGATGCCCGCATTGGCCTTGATAACCGAAGGAGGGATCGGAGTGAGAACCAAGTTCCCCCTCCGGCCCCGGCCATCGATCTTCAGGCTGTCTTTGCGGCCTTCGTTCAAAACATGGCTCTCAATTCCGGAGTCCTCGCCTCCCAGGCGCCCCTTCAGCCCCACGCTGGAGGGAATGTTATCCAACTACCACCACTCCCTCCTTTGTTCAACAGTCCTCCCCCGGGGATTGGCAATGCCGAGGGGGTCATGGCACAGGATACCGCCTCCCAAGAGGCCCAATCCAGGGACAAGCGCCCCATGATGAGAGAGAAACCCCGAACCTCTGTACTTGAGAGGCTTGGGGGAGCTCCCGGGCACCGAGGGGTCCAAGACCGCCTCGGGAAACAGGCATTCAGCAGGCCCCAGGAGAGTGGAGCCTCTGCTTCGGGCGCCGAAGGCGTGCGTCCCCCACGAAGCAAAGGCAAAGCCCTCCTCCATGCCGATGACGCCAGGCACCAGATCGATCAGGCGCAATCCTTCCGGGCCAACTCCCAAGGGGTTGCCCCGAAGGATCCCAAGGACGAAATCATTGAAGCCCTCCTCCGTCAACTCGAGGAGAATCGCCAGGCACCCCCGACGGCTTCCACGGCGAGGCCAGACCCGGAGTACGCCGACCTCCGGGCACAAGTGGAGGAAATGAAACGTAAACTTGCCGAAGGCTCAGGTGAGCCCCTCATTCAGCTCCGCACTAGGACGCCTTTCACCCCAAGGGTGTTGGCGGCCAAAATCCCCCACAAATATCGGGGGCAACCTATCAAACCATATGAGGGGAAGACGGATCCCCAGGAGCACTATAGTCGTTATCAAAACAGCATGATGATGATGGGGGCATCGGATGAATACTTATGCCGTTGGTTCCTTTCCACCTTGGAGGGACCAGCGTATGAGT